TTTATTTATTATTGCTTAATTTGAATGTAGGTTCATAAAATTACTACTTGTTATTACATGAAACCATTATAATGAAATTTCATAGTTAAATTCCATTTACATTTAAAAAATAGTCATTTACTAATTTACTAATTTACTAATTAGAATGGTACATAATCGAACGAAATAAATATCAATTTTTATTGTAATTTATTACAATAAATCCACACATTTTTTATGTAGCAAACGGTATAAGTAAAATGTATTTTTCTTTCTCCAAAATTATTTTGATAACAAGTTTAACAAATTCAATACCGTCTAACAAGTTTTCATAATTTTTATTCCATTGCAACATTCAGTATTTTTTTTATTGATTCATAAGCGTTGCATAAAAAGCTGAAAACTGGTTTATTCCCCCTTTTAGTTAAAAAATTTAATGAAACAGAAAAATATATATTTTGTAATGCTCCCATTACTTATAGTGAAAGTCTTTAAGCTTTCCCAAATACAATCATTATATTTTTATTTTACTATTAATATTATAACATACTTAAAGGATAATTAACATTGCAAGGACTACTCCACAGATCTACTTACGACATGCTTTTAATAGTATACGGTTTTATACAGATTTTGTTTTTCAAATTGAAAACAATTAACGCACTATAAGTATCATTTTTTTTCGTAAACACTTACCTAAATACACATATTTTAATATTCATGTTGTAATTGATATTGTTGGTATTTGGAAAATTTATAAAATGTTTTACAGTAAATAAGAAATACATACGTGTTATAGTAAGAAAACAACATTATTTAAATGTTAAAAATATTTATTCTTCTATTGAACTATACAGTCCCTGGTCATCAAATTAGGACCACGTACGGAAATTTCACTTTTATGACTATAACATTATGTCATATATGGGGAATTGTCTTAGGTCATGCAAATTATTACTAAATATGTCGATAAAGATATACATAGCAATTGATTTGTGTCGCTATAATAATAAAATTGTGTGGGTGATGAGCGACCAAGGACCGTGCGAGTCGAAATAAAATATTAAAAAATTTTACATTATTTTATAAACCACACTCTAGAAGAGGTTTTCGTATTTTTATTTTTATTTATAATTCTAAATTTGTTCTTTTTATTTTCTATCGTTTTACTACACCTAATTACGTTATGTTACAGCATTAAAATCTTGCCACGAAAATTATATATTAGAACCAATCACGTATCATGAAATAATTCTTTTGTTTTAGAAATTTGTAATAAGAAACATATTTTCTAAACAACTTCGTTCCATATTTTCAAATATTCTAGAATAGGCAATTATACTTGTTTTTTTACATGTGATTAATTAGAATAGTACTAAATTGCAATGACTTGTATGAATTGAAACAAAGCAATATACTTCATATCTTTTATAACATTAACTTTCATTACTTAGTATTTATGTTGCTGAACTTTTTTTTTTAATATGTAAAAGACAGCCTAAAATGTTGTTTAAATCTTTTGCTTTTTAATGTTAAAAAACATTAAACTGGTTAAATTTATCATATTTGATGTTTTTCAAAAGTATATACTTATTTCGAAGTAAACAGTTGTGATATTCATACCTTAGATATTTCATCGTGAAAAATGCAACAGGTCAAATTGTAACAACAATAACATAGAAGTATTCACTGCACGAGTATACTGATGTGTACTGGCTCGTAAAAAGTTTCTTGATTCAGTAGAGCTAAACTACAGGTAAGTACTTACATTCGGACCTGCGCCATACACACCTGATCAGACATAGCGAACAACGAAAACATTTGGACATACTTTAAAACAGAATAATAATTTAAAAATAGGACATACCTTCTTTTTTTTATTTTTTTCTTTCATTATTTTGATTAAATTACAATTAGTCAAAATTACAAAGAAGATAGTAAAATATACATTTAAAATTTTTTTTAACTAAGCTTGTAATAAAAATTGAAAAAACCTTTTGCAAATTTAAATAAATTGAGTATACATATACATACCAAAAGTTTATTCGAAATAGGTTAATATAGAAAATAGTAACAGATATTAGAATATATAAATGTCTTTAGATTTATTAAAGTTACAAATCAAAGATTGTCCAAACTATAATTTCCATCACTTTTAGTAGTTTATAACAAATAACCGCATTGACCAATCTCAATAAAACGTTTCAATTAACTTGATGACAGATTTAAATCAACAAAAACTATTTTTCAAATTTTCATTACAGGCTCATTGCCAGATAAAGTGTTTTAAAAAGTGGCTATTTTCTTCATGATTTCAACCAACCGTCATTATTTCAAAACAATAGAAGTGCACTATGGGGAAAACTAATCCTTCCTGCTTCTTTAAAAAGATTTTTTACATTTGATTTTAAAGAAGTTACTTGCGTTTTAAAGGGTACTTGAATACTTCTATTACACACTGAAAGTAATTTATGCGTATAGTATTACGGAAATTTTAGACTAACCAAAATAATGAAATTTTAATTTTACATAATAAATTTATAATAACATGAACAATTTTCAATTTTTATGTTTTTAATTAGTAAATTATATGTTCAACAATAAAAATATAATGTTCGTAAAATATCGCCATTTGATAAAATGTGTGAACTGTAATAACTTCTTTAGAACAATCTTACGTACATTTTATACTTTCTTCTTATAAAACTTGATAATATTAAAATTAGACAATTCCGTATGCTTTGTTTGTAACTAAATCTTCTAAAATATACTATGAATATAAAGAAATGCAACATATTTGTCAATTTTTTTTTAATTAGTACTTATTAACTTTTCTCTCCGGCGAACTAAACATCGTTGCGATCAATAAAACGCGTAAACTTTGTAACAGTGCTTGTTATAAACAATTTCAATTTTTTAAATATATTGTGTTTTCAATATATTCTTTGAAATATTATATTTTTAAGATGTACTATCAGTTTAAATTAAGTGTAAAAACTATTATATTAATGTTATTGATTTAATCATAATAAAAATTACAGAAAATGTTTATTACAATTTTATTTACGGTGTAATTCTATTAGCGTTTCAAAATTTTTAACTACTCCATCAAATGATTAAATTATAATCGTTAGTTGAATATTTTTGAAATGAGAATTACAGTGTAATTGTTAAACGAATAATTTTTTAATTGGAAATGAAAATTTATTTTTTAATTTTTTGTCAACTGAATAAATAAAAATGATTATTAACTTTTAATAATAATTTTTTCAAACTGAAAACTCAAATTTGATTCCTTATTTATGAACTGAATTTTAATTACTACTTAATTTGAATATTGTGTAGAATATTATAATTTTTATTATTATTTTGTCTGTATTTCACACTTTCCATTTTTTAACACTGTTGTTGATATGTGTTAGCATTAACAACAGTAATAAACTAATGTCATAAATACATATCATTTTATTCATTAAATTTAATCAATCCAGATTATTACCATTACCTTTAATTAAAAATTAAGTTCTTATCATCACCTTGGAGAATTACAATTAAGAATTAACATTAATTTTTATTTGTTCAAGATTCAATTAAAAATAAAATTTTTATTTTGTTCTCAAACCCTCAGATTAAATTAAAAATTAAATTCGTACTCTGAATTCAAAGAAGTTAAAAAAAAACATTAAATTTTAATTATAGTACAATTAAAGTAAAAATATCAATAATTATCTGAAAGTCAGAATTCTAAATTTTATTAACACAAAGTGTAGTAACTATTGTTGTTTACAACTGCCCATAATTTCCAAGATATATTTCCCCTTCTATCAAATTGATAGTATATTTTTGAGGTGAAAACGACCACAAAAACTGTTTTTGAAACAAGCTTTTTCATTTTAAATATTTCGCTTCTTTGAAGTTTTATGTCTCACATGTAGTTTAAGTATTTACAATTGATTTTCATACTTTTACTTTATACAATGGTAACTTCAATATTTGAAAGCTTGTTCTCTATATAAAATTCAATTATATATCTTTTTTTTGTCCAAGTCTTTTCTCTGCAGTCAAAATTATTTCTCATAAATTTTGGATACTTTACTGCATTAAAATTATCAATAAAAAGCACACGAATAATAGAAGTCTTGAAAAATGAACGTAAACGTCGAACGTGAACGTAAACCACATTTTGAATTACTTTTAAGAATAGAAATTTATTGGTGAATATTACAAATTTTTAAATTTGTACCCAAATTTATGCATCTATGCAAATCATTATCATAATAATGTCTGATGTTTTTTTACATAAAATTGCCTTTTTCGCATGATTTTTAATTATAAATAATGAAAATCAAAAGATTATTAAGAATTTAATTGTATATCTTATCATAAAATAAATTAATTTCTTAAAATAAAAGTTCTTTATTTTGGAAACAGTTTCATAAAATCAAGTTTCAACGTGAACTTTTGGTATTTATACTTATTTTAAACAAACTGTATACATATGTACATTCTTCATCTCACAATGCTCCATCTTACCCTCTAAGAATATAAATATATATGTATATGTTTTGTGAAGCAAAATGATTAAAATTATCGACGTTTACCTAAAATCAGAGTTTAAATAATTAGTGAATGAATTATTTCAACAACCACATAACATCTTTCATGTCATAACACATACCATTGATTTATACGATTCTTATATTTATTACATAGTATTTAGAAGAATGATACACTCATTAACTTTTTGCAATTGTAATAGTTAAAAATACAGGAATTTTGTTGTGAATTTAATTGAAATTTATTTATTCAAGTTGATAATTTAAAAAATGTAGAAATATTCATATTTTCTGATTATAATGTAATGTAATATTAGTACCACTTTAAAGTATGCAATACAGTTACGTCTTTCTTAGTAAGTATTTATTTATATTAATATCTACCTTATATTTGTTTAAAACTTCATCAAAATTTATAGCCCCAACAAATTTTAAGTAATGTCAAAATAATTCAGAAAAATTTCTTTAGTGTTAATTATTTATTTAATATCTTTTTTACATCTAGAATTTCAAATTGTTTTGAAACATTATTAAGGTAACACTTTTACCATAATGCACGTTGTACACCAGATAACTTATTATAATCAGCTAAATGACGGAATACAATTCTCGATATTCTCCATTTAATAACAGTACCACGACCACGAGAAGTTACTGCACAACGTGGTGTTAATTGTCTTAATGCAGTTTGACGGGGAATAGTCTCATCTATTTGTTTGGTGGCAAGAGTCTGTACCAAAGAATAGATAAATAAAGTTAATGTTATTATCAGTTAATTGACTCGTTCCTTGAAATACTTATATTTTTATAGTAACCCCTTAAGGACCACCTCCATAATATTATGTTTCTTATGGACAGTCTCAAAATCCCCACTCCATAATATTATTTCTTGCTTCATTTTATAATTCTTTTTGTAATTTTTACAAACGTGGTATTATATAACTAAATACACCATGAATATTTTAATAGAACATATATAAAAATAAAATCATTTTTTAAAAAATAATGTTTAATGCCAAATCACATACACATATAGAATATATTAATAATAATAAACAAATTCGATAAATTTTGGATGTGTCTACAAATTTAATGAAGTTGTTTTTGCACTTGTCCTTAAAATTCAAATGTCTTTAAGGGGTTACGATTAAATAAAGAACCCTATTTACCTGTATTTCTGCTGGTAAAATATTATTTCTTTTTAAAGCTACTAATCGCAATCGTTCTGGTGCATAATCTCTTGCTAATCGTCTTCGTTTAACATCACGAGTCATCCATCGTCCAATCCAAATATTACGTATTTGCTGGAACTACATGGCGTAGAAATATTATAACCAAGAAACTATACTTTTCATTTCCACAAACGTTAAACTAACTTTAAATATATATATATATTTTTTTATTAAATTACGTAATTCAACAACACCTTTATACCTACATTACTTGTTACAGCAGTTGTACTTTTTGAAAAAACATTTGAAAATGCCAACAGACTATTTCTTATAGCAGCCATATTTGATGCAACATCTCATTTTTACGACTTACGCATTATACACGTGTAAAATACGCGGCAAAACAAAAATTTAAAGTTACCATATATTATAGTACAAAAATAAAATTAAACAAAAAATATTGCATTATTCTGCATATCTTAATTCACATTTTCAATATTACAAGTACTGCAATAAATATCTCAAATTAATTTTTTAATTAATGTTATTATTATTGCTTATTCAAATTCAAAAAAGTACAGAAATAATAAAATTAAAAACAAATTTTTAAAAAAATATTAAGATAAGTGATGATTTTTATATTCGTACACTAATAATGAATTATCTATTGAACACAATTTTGTATCAAAATAATTGGTTTCAGCTAAATTATTCCAATTATTCTTATTATTCTTCTAATTACGATGATCAAATCAACGATTTATCAGTACACAAGTATTGTATGTCGACGTTTAGCGTTTTCCAAGAAAAAAAGCAAGTTTAATATTTAATAATATTTTGGATTATGTTAAATAAGTACTCTTTGCATTCAATTTATTATTCAAAATGTGTAATACAACTTGAATTATTTCTTTAGTAATATAAGTTAGGATCTGCAATATTATGAACATGTAAACAATCACAATAATTAAGGAATTTAAAATATAAAAAAAATTATTTTTACTAAATTTATAATATAAATATGATTTCTATAAAGTATAAAGAGGCAATTAAGAATAGATTGCTAAAACTTGAATTCTACAAAAAAATAAGCAATATTCTTATAATGCAGAGATAAGGAAGCAATAAAGCAAATAATTTTGTTGTTCCGTATTCCTTTATTCACTTTTATTCGATATTGTTATTTATATGTATGTACAGAATACCGTTGTTAACCAATCTCAACTATTGAAAAATCGCGGGCTAAAAGTGCTGAATCGTTGCAGAGCAATCGTATTTTCGCACGTATTTTCTTCCAATGTAGAATATGTAAAAATGCAAGGTAAATCTTTGTAAAGAAATATATCCTAGAAAAATGTTTCGTGTATATATTTTCAGCAGTTCAATTCCTTACCTAGTTAGGTAATTGGAAAGTAATAATAAAAAACAGGTCCCACCTTCTCAACTAAATTTGTACTGGAACTAGTACTTGTTCTCTTTGTCATTAATGTTATTTAAATTGATATATCCCATTCATGATAAACGATTAAAATAATGTTTCTTGAATAATAAAGCAGCTTTCTAGAAATGATGTCAGAAATATGAAGCGTTTTATGATAAGGATGGCGATGATAATCGATCATTAATTGTAATGACGGCAAAAAATAATAGTGAATGTTTTTAGAATATCGCAGATATAGGATTTATTTCCGTATAATAATTAGAAAATATAATTAAGCCGAGCTAAATTATGATGTTTGTTGATGTTCTTGTGAATCAGATGTTATAAGTAGCTTTCGTAGTTTACTTTCTTTTTTCACGGGACTCTAGCAAACGAGAAAAGTATTTGCTTCTTCACCATCGTTGGCCGTTTACCTTTCCTACGAAATTCTTTACGATGAGAGAAATGACGGAGCAACCATTTTGATAAATGGAATATACGAATATCAAAAAAATATGGCGAATGTACAACTTCATGCACATAAAAAGCCAGTCGTCGCGATTCTTTCCCAGTTCTATTACGCTTAACCATTGGTCGCGATTTCGTAGAAAATATTGCGGTTTGCGATGGCAATAATGTACTACTGTTCTCGTGAGAAAAACGTGAAGAAAGGAGGTAAACTACTTCAGCTATTATATGCCGAAGCCCATCTGGCGATACACATGTACGGAAACTAGTTATTTCTTTTTCTGGGCCTTTTCTGCAGCCTTGGTGACCTTGCCCACGGCGTCCTTGAAAGTAACTGCTTTGATGACACCAACAGCTACCGTCTGACGCATGTCACGAACAGCGAAACGTCCCAAAGGAGGGAATTCTTGGAAAGCTTCAACACACATTGGCTTGCTTGGTACGAGCGTAACAATTGCAGCATCTCCTGATTTAATAGCTTTTGGATTTTGTTCGGTGGTTTTTCCAGTACGACGATCACATTTCTCTTTGATTTCAGCAAATTTACACGCAATGTGAGCAGTGTGGCAATCCAACACTGGTGTGTATCCATTGCTAATTTGACCTGGATGGTTCAGCACAATAACCTATAAAAAAAGTAAATGAAGTTTTCTTTAATGCCAAGAGAATACATGACATACTGTAATTAATGAATTTCCTAAGCACTCAGGCGTCTTCAACCATCAACAGATCTTAATGATCTTCCGGTGGAAACCGCGAATGAAGTATATATACTTTCATCATTGTGCCAATATCATTCATTTACATACACACAAAATAATTTACACATCATTTTTTTTCAAACTAATTTTAATAACATACCTGTGCAGTGAAGTCAGCAGCGCCCTTGGGTGGATTGTTTTTCGAATCTCCAGCTACATAACCACGACGCAATTCCTTAACGGACACGCTTTTGACGTTGAAACCAACATTGTCACCAGGAACAGCTTCTTGCAAAGCTTCGTGATGCATTTCAACTGACTTAACTTCAGTAGTCAGACCCGCAGGAGCGAATGTGACAACCATACCAGGTTTTAACACACCAGTTTCCACACGACCAACTGGTACTGTTCCAATTCCACCAATTTTGTACACATCCTGCAATTACATGTGTATGAAATATGTATTTTTAAAAATTTCTTAATTCTCATAAAAATTTTATTGAAATCAGACATCTCTAGCCATCAACGGATAGAAAATCCTCCGGTGGAAACCGCGAATGAGGTTATAATATTATCATCACAAAAAATAAATATTATAATTATTCAATTTAGTTAGGAACTTACCTGAAGAGGAAGACGGAGCGCTTTATCTGTAGGTCTAGTCGGTGGAAGGATAGCATCTAGAGCTTCAATAAGGCATTTTCCTTCTACCTTACCTTCCTTGCGCTCAACACTCCATCCCTTAAACCAAGGCATTTTCGAAGAAACTTCCAACATGTTATCTCCATGCCAACCAGAAATTGGCACAAATGCAACAGCAGCAGGGTTGTAACCAATCTTTTTAATATAAGATGAAACTTCCTTCTTTATTTCTTCAAATCGTGTTTCAGAGTATGGTGGCTCAGTAGAGTCCATTTTATTAACACCAACAATCAGCTGCTTTACACCAAGTGTAAAAGCAAGCAGAGCATGCTCACGTGTTTGTCCATTCTTTGAAATACCAGCTTCAAATTCACCAGTACCAGCAGCAACAATTAATACAGCACAGTCAGCTTGTGATGTACCAGTAATCATGTTTTTAATAAAATCTCTGTGTCCAGGAGCATCAATAATAGTAACATAGTATTTAGAGGTTTCGAATTTCCACAGAGCGATGTCAATAGTAATACCACGTTCACGTTCTGCCTTTAATTTATCCAATACCCATGCATATTTGAAGGATCCTTTGCCCATCTAAAAATGAACAGTCATTTCATATTCAAAGTCTTCTATTGTCATTAAACATTTCAATTATACAAATATTATTGTAATACAAATACAATTACATTTAATTATCACTGTGCCAACCAAAACTAAATTACCAGTGAATCTATAATTAATATTTTCTACTAAATTTCAGAAATAATTTTCGCGTATATAAAATTTTATTTAAATTGCACATAATTTGTCTTTCTTACCTCTTGGGCTTCTTTTTCAAATTTCTCGATGGTACGTTTGTCAATACCACCACATTTATAAATTAAATGACCAGTGGTGGTAGATTTACCAGAGTCGACATGTCCAATGACGACAATGTTAATATGAATCTTCTCCTTACCCATAATGAAGTTTCAATCAGACTTTTCTAGTTAACTATATAATAAAATAAAAAATAATTATATAATCTCTGTTTCAAAAAGATTACAAAATATTAAATTAGAATTAATACTGAATGATAATTTTGTCAAAACTAAAAAAATAATTATTGAATTAAAAAAGTCATCTGTATAGGTTACATGTTCCGGGAAATATTTCTTATATGTTATTAATTTTGTATTTACGGTTGCTATTTTAAAAACTATCGAATTGAATTATATATAAATATATTAATTATCACGAAAAGTATGTAAACCTAAAATTCATTAATTTTGATTAAAAGTGTAGCAGGTGTCTTTGTCCTAGCGTCCACGTGGCGATATGTGAATATTCCAGAACGAAACTGGCAGCCATTTTGTAGATGGCCAGAACATTGCAATGTTGCCACGACTTTCTTGACGCTTCATATTATATGATGCCATGTTAACATTTGAGGCAATTTTCAGTTAAAAAGAGCTGTAATTATTTTTTACATACTGGAACTATTTGTCGGTATAATTTTTTCTTTAAAAACCTGAACATTTCTATGAAATAGTAATATTCCAAATTATTAAATTAAAAAATCTTTTAAAGTAGCAATTGATAATTTATATAAATTAATAATTTATCTACAATGTATATAATAAAAACTTTATATTACATAGTTAATGTATTAAATTTGGAAATGAAAATAATTACAATTATAATTACTGACTTTTACTTCTGTTTTAAGTGATGCAATTTTCACTTACCCCTTTGAAATAACGATATACGGATTATAACAATGAAAAAAATTAATTTAATAACCCGACACACTGGAAATCAGCAAGCAAACTCCATTGTCGTCAAAAAGTCGTTTTACAAGGTCGTCATTGCACACGATTTCCAGTAGACTTATAATGCATATCTTAACTCTAATTATACGTTGAAATCAATTACAGCTCTTTCTAGTTAAATTAGCAAAATTATTTTGGAAAACATATTTCTTGATTTCACAAAAGCACAATTAGAAAATTTATATCATGAATATTTTTAGTATTGTAGGAACTCGTGACTGAAAACTGAATTCTGACAAGCAGTCGACCGCCATACTGCATCCGGTTATTTGCATTTTTCTAATTTTTTAAATTTGAAAATCACGTTTAGTTAATTAAATGTTTAGCCACATAGATTTTTTCTCCGATCAACAATTAATTGCAAGATTCAATGCTTTAAAAGAGATGACAAACGACTTTTACGAAGATCAGCATGTGGACCGCGTTCGAACAGCCGGCAACTATAGCCGAAGCCATGCGTCTGTTTTCCAACGTTGTAATTCACCGAAAAAAACAACATTTCCGTAAAACTGTTCTCACTACACAATTTGTTCCTATTTCAATCGTTGTTTTATTCCGTACCTGACGTTCGATGCTACCTTTCCGGTAAGAAAATCGTCGGATTATACTCCTGTGCGAAAATCACGAACAACCACTCACCTCCAGATGCCACGACAGAAAGAGATCGTCCAAATGAAGTGACATGCGCATACGGCTTCCCGACCATAGTCTCGAATCCAGACCCTCACCGTATTGATCATTCGTAAAACATTAAGTTATTTTTTCAATATTATTTATTATTTTAATCATGTTAACAACAGTTTCATAAATGAACAAATAACTTTTGTAAGATTATTTAAATAATAATATTGAAAAATTATCGACTCTAAGTATTCAAATTGGTCTACAGAGACTCAAGCGCTGGGTTTGAGATTATAGTTACGCAGCAACACCAGGCGTGCCGAGATTCATATGTATAGATAGTCCTAGGATGCGCGTATGTATGGGAGAAGATAAAATCAAACAGGAGATAGAAATATTAAAAACATAGAATGTTAAATCACTGTCTTTGAGGGTGCACTCGTATGATTCTAGCTTAAGGTTCAAATAGCATGATTCCAAAATTTATCGAAATTTATGATGGTATGACTGACATGAAGCAAAAAATTGATTTTCATTTTATTTTAATTGATTCTCTATCAGAATTTCATTGAACATAATATCGATTAATCAAATGTATTTATCGTTTATGTTAATACAACATGGCTGAGCTATGATTTACTTTTCTATAGTACATAAATATTTTAATTTTAATTATATAACAAAACGATCATTATACAAAAATATGTGAATATTTTATTGCGGGAATTACTTGAATTCGAGTATATTAAAGTTACATGCTTGCAATACATCTTATTCTCATTATGTCTGCTGATATAAAAACTGTTTGAAGATGTTAATTTTTAATTAATTGTAAGGTTGATGAAGTATAAAAGAGAGGAGATATAAGAAAAAGATATGTATTAGAACATATATACGCATTTTTATTGCAGACAGCAGTTATTTGAGCCTTACAAATGAGAGAGAGAGAAAGAAAGGGACAGAGGCAGGCAGATGGAGAAAGAGATAGAGAGAGAGGGAGGGAGAAAGTGAGCGCGAGAGAGAGAAAGAATATGCATCGTTGGCCTGGATAGGTTAATGGTTAGAACAGTCGCTCGGCAAACGGAAGATCCGGGATTCGAATCCCGGCCCTAGCAAAATCGATCGGCCAAATATTTTTCTTTTCATAATATAGGTATATGTATGGGAAAGCAGGAAACTTTCCAGGTGGATGGTGATAATTTGTAATGCACATTACGTTTTCTTAATAATGAATAATTTGAAAAAAATCAATACTTTACTTTGGAAGGAAAGGTAACTTCAATCAGTTTGTGATTGTTTCCTTTAACCCTATGATTACAAAAGGCTATCGTACATCTGTTAATATACGTATACGTAAGCTGTATATGTACGCTGAGTAAATTTTTTTTAAACGTATTCACTATTTTACCAGACTGATATTAGGCACATTGTTACTTACGTTTCATCAACGTTCAATAGAATAAACAAATAACAAGAATTTCAACCTTTTCTCATTTTTAATAACATAAAGTCCTAAAGGAGAAATATCGTAACGTTAAAAAATGACATTTTTTTTCAATGTGCATAGTAGTGAAAGGGTTAATATAAAAGAATATATTGAATATATTGAGAATATATTAAAAGAAAATATTATGTGTGTATGTGTATTTGTGTACATATACATATACGTACTATTTTACTTCTATTGAATTAGAATCTTTTATAAATTTGATCTTTATGCAATTACATTTATAGATCAAATTTCTTTGTACTCGGTTATCGCCTCTAAGGGGACATTTTAAATGGCAAAATAAATTCTAGAAATGCAAAGAGTTATATTAGCTCCACGAATGTTAACAACAATTCAAAAATTTAAATTTTAAAAATAAGAAGAATTTAGTAAATAAAATATGTTATTATATTGTTCATGTTTATTTAAAAACTATTTTTGAATGATATTTGCATTAGGTGTCATTACATTCACTTGCATAGTTTCATTTTGATCTTAAACATATTTTGTTGCGTTAAAAAATTATATTGTTTTCCTATAAATTTTACTTCAATAGACAATTAATTCTATCGTGCATATGATTTATGTTTTCTTTCTCACATATTTTATGTCTATTGTAAATAGGCTGTCAATCATAAAAATATTTATTATTAAATTTTCCTTATTAAAGTAATTGAAAATTTTGTACAATTTGATTATATTTTTAAATGAAATATTTACAAACACTGTTATAAAATTAAATATTGTATTTCTATCAATACAATATTTACAATGTGTCAATTTTATCGAGTTTGCAATCAAATTGTTGTAGTATTTATCTCAATATAACTATTAATAAATAGTAGCGATGAAATTTTTAAAAAGCTATTTGTATCAAGGCAGAGCTAATTATAATACACCTGAAATTACAGTATAAGAAAATCATTTACTGGGAAAGTATTTTTTATTATATATTTTCTTAAAAAACTAACGCTACTCGAAAAGATAAATGGAAAAAATTTATTATACAGTTTTAGAAGTAAAATGCTAAGAAAGCGGGAAAATTCACTTGTCGTTGGTAGTTTATATCCAATGATTGATGGATACCCAAAAATATTTATTATTTGCTTATTTCGTTTCATTGTTGTGTTTTTTTAAATATGGATTAATATTATAAGCATGAATTCTGCAGTTAAATTGTTTAATCGAGATTAGTTCATTTATTATATCTATTAACGTTTGAATGTGTCATCTTTTGAAGTTGACTGTTGCGATGTGAATATCTCAACGCCTGATTTTTTTACACGTATAATGAGAAAATTATTTTTTTATTATTATTATATTATTACGCGCAGCTCAGCCCGCCTAAATATATAATACATATATGATCGAACTTGCTTGAGCGTATTTATTTTACAATTATTGGCACCAATGAACATCTCGCAATGTTATGTAATCACATATTTTATAAAGCAATGAATGATTCATTGAAAATATCAAGCGGAACGTTATGCATCATTCTCTTGATACACAAGATGTTTGACGTCATTTGATATTAATGATATTTCCTCGAAAAATATTTAACAGCTACGAAGAAAAAGTTTTAAAATATATATTATTTATTTAAAATAATACATATAAAATTTCATTTATTTTTGTTTATGTTTGATTTCTATAATGTCTGAATGTTTTAAATTTTAATGACGAATATTAGCTACCTCTGCAATCATAGTGATTCACTATAATTAATTTCACGATGTATTGTTTAAAAATTTCGAAGTGATCTTATTCGATAAAATATAAAGGAAGATTATTTATAAAAATAACTATTTTTGTATTTTTACTTATAGTTTGTACATAATACATTGTAAATTGTTACTTATTTACTTTCATATTTGTAGGAACAATAAAATTTTCATTTTGATTAAATAATAATAACGAAGTATTAATTTCTCTATTTAATCAGCATAATTTTCTTTTATTAATCTTGCAGCTGTTATGGAAATGTCTTTTATTTAATTATAATAAATTTTTACTTAAAATTAATTCGGAAATATAATACTGTTGAATATGTTAAAAATGTTACTTTTAGACTAAATTAAAATATTATACATATAGCATACAATTCTACGTTATACTATATTAAACGAAATAATATTGTTTTTATTAAATATGTTTAGTGTACATTCAAATATAAACAGAAATAAATAGTATTGTTTTATGTGGAAAAGTTAAGGTAATGTTAAAAAAATAAATGTTGTACTTCTACTGTTATGTAATATTTAAATAAAAATATCTCTTAAAATAATAGGTTATATACTTAATATTTGTTCACAAGCCTTAACGGGCTTCATCGATTAATGTATTAAAGTATACATGGTTCTATTTAAAGAAATCAAGTTAACTTTGGAATGACTCTTAAGTTTAACTCCTACATTAACAATAAGATTAAGGTTACTATCATAACCTCCTTTTTAATCATCGCAAATTTAGTATTTTATACTTTTTTACAACAACGAAGTCCTCCCAGAGTTATTTAGGTGTTCCGGTCCTTCGAGATGTATGAGTGCAATTACTTTATCTAACGAATCGCACTACTTTTAGCTATTCGCGACTGTGTAACAAGAAAAAGATATTAACTAATTATATCGATATCAAATGTGTAATAAATGCCGATAAAAGGTAATTTGGAAAATACATAGTTTTCTTCCATAACGGAACTATACTATACTTTGGATTTTTTCAAGTATAATCATACATATATTAGATAAATCAACAATAGCCAGCTCAAATAAGTTCAGTATTATTGATATTAGAGATAAATTTTTGAAATAAAAATTGTACAGTGGTAAACGGACCAGCATATAATTTGTATCCATTTCGAGATGACATCGCTTTCAGCTTCTAAAGGTCATTTCTGTTTTTCCATATACTTTTTTTAATAATATCATAATAAAGATCATCAATTCTTCAGATATTTTCCATTCACTATACAGATATTCGATATAAGAATTTGAAATATTATATAAATGATCAATTTTTTATAATTCTGTAGTCTAATATTCTACATCCTTGTAAAAAAACATAGTTAGGTAATACATCGCTAAACCGATCACTTTTTCTCTCAAGATTTCGGATTGTGATTAAAATGAAATGTAATGTTTATATAAAATTGACGGGAGAGAGGTTCAGACCATTAACCAATCAATGATTTCAACATAAATTTGTATCTTCATATATACCAAATAAAACTATGATTGTTTATTGGTGGTTTATTAAAATAATTCTATCAATTTCCATCTTTTAACTCCTTTGATGAGAGAAATATGGGAAGCAATAACTTATACAATTAACTGCACATGGAATACGATCAATAGCTATACATGACATATTTTTCTTTAAATTTTAGGTTGATTATTAATGTCGGAACAAAAATGATTTTTTTTGGAGTGGTTTTTATAAAAAAATTCCTTAAAACCAAGAATAACGTTATATTACTTACGTACTGACTGACAAAGTTCCAGAAGTGTACTATGAGTGGAACACAGTTAAAAGAAAATAAAACCGATATAATTCCGCCTTATAAATCATA